CCCCCCCCCCCCTATTATGTGTTGACCTCCTGGGCTTATTTGAGGATAAACACGGTATGTAGAAGATAGATTAATATGTCCACATTAGTGGATATAATTTATTGTAAAACTGTCCTAGAGAAGCCCAGCGATTGGGCGAAACTGTCCTAGAGAAGCCCAGCGATTGGGCGAAACTGTCCTAGAGAAGCCCAGCGATTGGGCGAAACTGTCTGTCATCCTACCAATAAGATTGAAGAACAATCCCTAGTGTTATTGTGATTAATTCACTATTTTGATATCTGGACTTGGAGAAGGCAAATCAATCAAAGGTTGACTCTTTCCTGATAGAGTTTGGAGGATCAAATACTGCCTGCATGTTGATAAATGACACAGAAAAGAATTTCCCTAATGGGTTCATGCAATTGTTTAAAGTACTTCACTTCAGTATTTGTCCAAAGTTTAAAAAGAAAAAGTCAATTTCCCTGTGGACTTTATAAAGTTGATTGAGATTCCGTAAAGTGGAACAGGTACTTCTACAGAACTGTTTCCTTAAATTGTAGAGATATGGTATGATTTTGTAGTACTTGTCTGATGGAAGGATCGAGTTCCTGGCAAACATGAATGGTTATATGGATCAGTGTAATATTTAAAACGTCTTTTGATATCTAGGATACCTGAATTACATACAAAATTATCAACAACTTGACAATGATATATATTTGATGCACATGTTTATGATTGTTTTGAAAACGAGTTGTGTTACTGGCAAATGGCAGGGTTTAAGTACTCAATGGTCTGTGCCTTACGTTTAAGCTCACCTGCCTAAAGGGCTATGGTGAACTTATGCCATGATGTGGCCTCTGTCGTCCATCAACTTTTCCTTTAAACTACTTCTTCTGAAGAATGGACATGCCTAGGGTCATGATATTTGGCTGAAAGCTTGGTTGGTAAATGTCCAAGAAAGTTTGAGAACAAAAATGACCTTGACCTTCTTTCAAGGTCACGAGTCAAATGTGTCAAATACAATTACATAAATTTGGCTGGTGGCTTCTTGGTCATAGGCATTTAATGTGTTAACGTATTTAAATGACTTCTGAATAACTACGAGCCAAAGGATGATGATATTTGGGATCAAGGACTTCCAATTTTTTTTCGACTGAATGGCTTTGTTAGACTTTCAAAGTCACTGTGGTTTAAATGTGTTAAAATCGTGTAACAGTTTGTTTTCAATAACCAAGAGTCATAGGTAAAGTTTTTAGCTCACCTGGCACGAAGTGCCAAGTGAGCTTATGCCGTGGCGCGGCGTCCGGCGTCAATATTTTACTTTAAACGACTTCTTCTTAATAACCGAAAGGCCAAGGGTGATGATATTTGTCCAGAAGCAAACTGGGATGAAGGGCTACAAAGTTTGTTAAAATTAATGACCTTCACCCATTTTCAAGGTCACTGGGGTCATATATGTTAAAAACTTTAAACATCTTCTACTCGATAACCAAACTGCCCAGGGAGATGATATTTGGCCAGTAGCATGCTTGGGTGAAGGGCTACCAAGTTTGTTCAAATGAATGACCTTCAATTATATTCAAGGTCACAGGGGTCAATTGTATTAAAAAAAACTTTAAACAACTTCTTCTGAATAACCAAAATGCCCAGGGTGATGATATTTAGTCAGTAGCATACTAGGATCAAGGGCTACCAAGTTTGTTTAAATGTATGACCTTGAATCATATTCAAGGTCACAAGGAGCAAATATGTTCAAAATATTTAAACAACTTGTTCTGAATAACCAAAAGGCTCAGGATGTTGATATTTAGTCAGTAGCATGCTGGGATCAAGGACTACTATGTTTGTTAAAGTGAATGACTTTGACTTATATTCAAGGTCACAGGGGTCAAATTTGTTTAAAATCTTTAAACGACCTCTTCTGAATAACCATAGGTCCCAGGATGTTGATACTTTGCAAGGTGCATCCTGAAATGAAAGGCTATAAAATGTGTTCAACATAATGACTTAATTTGCCTGTAGCTTTATTTTAGATCACTTTTAAGGTTACAAGTGTGAGATTTATACCAGGTGAGTGATGCAGGCCCATTGGGCTTCTTGTTATTCTATACTTTTATCTAAATCTAATTTGATACAGAGTATCCTTGGCCCAATTTTGTATAAACCACGCCCCCTGCCGAATGGGGACAGAAGAATGGGACTGAATAAGGTGAGGGTGTTGCTGAGAGACAGAGCTAATATCTGGAAATATTTGTAGTACTGTATAATGTTTAATGAGAATATTTTTCTATGACTGCTTAAATATCCAGGTGAGCGATACAGGCCCTCTGGGTATCTTGTTTATAAAACCAAGGAAAACAAGTTTTGTAACTGTAATTCCTGTTTATAAGGGACGTGCCTGGGTAGAATAATCTCCTATTAACAGGTAATGGAGTGATGGGAAACAGAATTAATTCTTTCCCTTTATTGTCTCTGTGTAGAGGATGTGCTGTGTGAAGTGTTTAGAAGACTTCTTTGTGGTTCTTATGGCGTGATGTTCAGGAAACAATTTTCAAAGATAGTTTAAGAAAATATTTACTAGCTCTCATTGGCTTTTTAAAAGTGTTTGCACTATAAGACATTGAAAGCTTGTGACCCATGTATACTGACATAGTTGTACAATGACAGCAACAAATGATGTGTACATAACTGACAGCCTTTACAAAAAGTGTCGGGGGGGACACAAAGGGCAATGTGACAACCCAATAATATCCCAAGAGAATATCTGACCACATTATTTCACAGACTGGTCTAGCTGATGTCTGTAAATGAGGGATATATTAATAAACTGTCTGCTTGCTGTCATGCGACTCATAGGACTAATGCCACCAGAAAAACGGACACTTCACTTACGCAATGGTCAGTGATGTGTTCAGAATTAAGTTAAAAGACAATTGAATTTGAAATAATTTTGCTGACGAGATTATTCATTATTTTTTCTCTTGGTTATATATCTTGTTCCGGTGATAGGTAGCTGGAAAAGGCATTGTTTTTGTGGCTCGTTTTAACCTCACCTGGCCTGAACAGTGCAAATTCAGTTTTCTTCTTCAAAAGCCTTCTCACCATGAACAGCTGATCAAATTCTTACCGAATTTGGTCTGAATTATCACTTGATACGGGAACTGAAGCAGTATAAGCAAAGAGTATGGCACTCTTGGGAGTAAAGTGGAGAAGCCCAAAAATGGAAATAAAAATGTGTAGAAATGACTCTTTAAAAGACTATTTCAATACAGTTAATTGAACCAAATGTTCTGAAGCATAACATGGCCAATACAGAACAATGTGGTGGTATACATAAAGGGTGTGGCCCCCTGGTTGCAGAGGGACAGGGCACACTATGGGAAATAAATGTTAATCTTTAAAAGACTACTATTTCACCACTTTATTTACATACACCAACATTTTTGTTAAAGATCCATTATGTTCTGTATTGGGTTAGATATACTTGTGTAAATGCATGTTCCAATAAGGCCAATAGTAAACAAACTGGTACTTGATCTGAATAAGGCTGTCATGGTCCGAAACAGGTGCCACCCTGCCTGCCCTCTGATTGACATTTTTGACTAATGCTCATACATATTATGTAAAAAATACTGATTGTAATTTTCCATAACAAAACTGGCTGCAAAAATAGCTCCTATTCATTCAGTATATTGATTGAATTTTTAATGTAGTATTTTATTTCTTTATTCCAGAAATTAAATCATCCATTATGCTGTTTTGTATCTCTGAATCATCTGCGTTTCAATATCAAATCATGCACGTGTGGAATATCTGATGAGATTCTCTGTACAGGATGTTCGTAATGGGTACTAGACAATGAGAATAGAGCTATAGGGTCTCCCCATTGCACATATTGTTATAAGTACATAACTAACTTTGTTTTTTACCGTTGTACCTTCTCCTTAGTAACATATGCATTGTATTTTCTACTGCAGCTTGGTTATGGTTCCAGTTCCCCTGCCTTGTCAAACAGAGAGAGATTTCCTACATTTTTTCGCACACATCCGTCCGCAACCCTCCACAACCCCACGCGAGTCAAGCTGTTCAAAAAGTTTGGATGGACACAAATTGCCACCATACAGGAAACACAGGAAGTCTTCACTTCGGTAAGGACAGATAACTCTACTATTCTATCCAAGAACAATCTAATGTTTAAAAAACAATAATATTTGCAATATTAATGGCATAAAAGACTTTAAATCTTCTGACAGAATAATAATGTTATCAACTTGCACTACTTTGAGAACAAAAATGAGCTCTTTTGGGAAAATAATGAAAATGAAAAAAATATCTTCTACATTTGTAAGTGCTCATATGATTGGTTTGAATTTGTTGCGACCATGCAGCAAGATGTGTTAGGGTTATCCCTGTGTGCATTGGTTTGGAAAACAATAAGGGATAATATTCAGGTCTGCTGGAGCTTGGACGAATATTTGATTCATCCAAGTTAACAAGTTCTATTGTATTTTAAATGTATTTTTTTGTGTCTTTGAGGCAGCCAAAAGGATTATTTCTTATACAACAGGCTTAGCCTATGTTTTCGATACATTCTTAAAGTACATCTATTTAAAGCTTGTGTTTTATCTGAAGTCCTATAGATTTTTTTCTGGCTAAGACTTTAATTATAGAACTCCACAGTGTGTTGGGCTTAAATGTTTTACCAATGAAAATTTGTAAGGCTTGAAATCACTGGATGCCAGCGTGATCTTCAGATGGTCAATGTTGCTTGGAACATGAACGTGAAATGTCAGTGTGGCAAACACAACAGTACTTGACAACGACGGCTTCAGGAGCACCATATCCTTTATTATTCCCTAGAAAAACTGTGGCTAGATTTCTTCTGTTGTGTTGGGATGGAGGTCATATCTCACTGAATAGGTTTCTAGACCAACTATATAACTACAGAAGTGTGTTCTGGGTGTTCAGTGTTGACTCACCATATATAGGGAAGGGGCTAATTTATATGATCCATCACCGACATTTCAATCATCGTGTCATTCAGTAATCAAACAGTCTCATGAATGTCATAGCGTTCAAGTTCGTCATGTCACTGATGCTGGTGATAGAGTGCCACTAATGTAAGCAATTGTATATGTCTTCTCAAAAAACCCTGTTTATGTTAATCCAATTGTGTGGGGTTCATTTTAGTGGTATTCATATTTGATTATTTATATTGTATAGTTAACAGTTCATGTTAAGACACATTTTAAACAATCAAGATGCAAAATCTTAAACTCAAAAACTATAAAAAGGGAAGTTTAACATGCAAGAACTGTACATAAAAACCTCAGACAAACTTGCAGCACTTGCCTTGTCAGTTCTATACATAGAAAATCAAAGATATCTTTCTATTGAGTGAAGGTTACCCCTAAAATCAAATCAAGAGTATTAACACTATGTATAACAACTATTCTATTGACTGAAGGTCACCATCACTATAGCTTTTCTATTGACTGAAGGACACCATCACTATAGCTTTCCTATTGACTGAAGGTCACCACCACTATAGCTTTTCTATTGACTGAAGGTCACCATCACTACATATTTCCTATTGACTGAAGGTCACCATCACTACAGTTTTCCTATTGACTGAGGGTCACCATCACTACTTATTTCCTATTGACTGAAGGTCACCATTACTACATTTTCCTATTGACTGAAGGTCACCATCACTATAGCTTTCCTATTTACTGAAGGTCACCATTACTTCATTTTCCTATTGACTGAGTGTCACCATCACTATAGCTTTCCTATTGACTGAAGGTCACCATCACTATGGCTTTCTTATTTACTGAAGGTCACCATCACTATAGGTTTCCTATTGACTGAGGGTCACGATCACTATAGCTTTCGTATTTACTGAAGGTCACCATCACTACAGCTTTCCTCCCCCCTGAGGGTCACCATCACTACTTATTTCCTATTGACTGAGGGTCACGATCACTATAGCTTTCCGATTGACTGAAGGTCACCACCACTATAGCTTTTCTATTGACTGAAGGTCACCATTACTACATTTTCCTATTGACTGATGGTCACCATCACTATAGGTTTCCTATTGACTGATGGTCACCATCACTATCGCTTTCCTATTGACTGATGGTCACCATCACTATCGCTTTCCTATTGACTGATGGTCACCATCACTATAGCGTTCCTATTGACTGAAGGTCCCCACCACTATAGCTTTTCTATTGACTGAAGGTCACTATCACTATAGCTTTTCTATTGACTGAAGGCCACCATCACTATAGCGTTCCGATTGACTGAAGGTCACTATCACTATAGCTTTTTTATTGACTGAAGGTCCCCATCACTACAGCTTTCCTATTGACTGAGGGTCACCATCACTATAGCTTTCCTATTTACTGAAGGTCACTTTCACTTTATGCAGTAAATTACTTTATTTTTCATTGAACCTGTTTTCCTGTTGCCCTTTTTTACATTATCATTCATTGAACTTGTTTTTTTCACACACAGACAGTAGAAGACCTGGAAGAGAGAGTAAAACAAGCTAACATAGCAGTGTCTGTGAGACAGAATTTTCTCACTGATCCAGCAAATGCTGTCCGTAATCTCAAGGTAAGTATCACTTATCTAAAGTTTCTCTGGGTCAAGAGGGTTTAAAAGAATATTCATAAAAGTTGTGGCACCTTTGAGAGCAGCAGGATTGGCCCATTTGAGATTGAGACATTTTCAATTTCTTCTGAAATTCCACAGAATTTCGACCAGACTTGGTACCAAGCAAATCTTGTCTATTATCAAAGGTTAATTATCCAGGATGGCAACCATAGTCTATAACTGGTGAGACGTTTTGACTTCATCTCAACTTCCATCAGGCTATTTCTGACAAAACTAAATACAAAAAATCCTCCTGACACCTAACAAAGTTGTTTTTATATTTTGTGTCAATTCAAAACCAAAATAGGCTACCCTGACTTCTGATTGGTTGAGATTATCAATATCCACCTGTCCAAATATGATGAGTCAAGATATGAATAATGTCTTATAATCCTGAACATAACAGGTGTTGATTTTTTGGGGTTGATTTAGAATCCAAGAGGGATTCTGAATTGGCTGAGTTGAGTTTTATTTCATTAGGTCAGTAATAAATCCAAGATGGCTACCACCATAGATTGAATATTTTAGGAATATTTATTCAAGTTCAGATTAATCTAACAAATGAACGATACTTATTGAATGTGTGACTGAAATATTCAATCAGTTTATCTTTTTACCAAATCATCTCTTGAAAACACAGTAAGCTTTAATTTAAATCAAATTTGAAAATATTTTTCTGTTAAACAACCACCAAAAAGCCATTTTACTCAAACAATATAATAGCACATTGCTGTAGATGACATTTTCAAATGTTAGCATGTTTATAGACAGGATATTTTTCAAATGCAGGTTAAATCTGATTTTCTTTCATGTTACGTGAGCAGGGTAAAATGAGATGAAATTAAGAAAAACAGTTAAAGATTTTATTCACTATCGAAATCGAAATTTGGAAACCAGTGAAGTGTTATAGACTGTAGAGATGCAACAAGAATGATATCAATAAATGGCAGAGCCTATTATCTGTTAACTTGTTTATGGGAAGGTCATTATCTGTTAACTTGTTTATGGGAAGGTCAAATCTTAAAGTTCGGAGACTATCTAATTCTCAGTGTAGGGTTTATCACATTGTGTTTGTATCAAGGTTAAACAAGTGACAGAGTCTATTACAACAGGGATTTAGTTGAATTCAGTTGGGAGCTAATTTAAACTTTTATATTGTATTTCCAGGGGGAATTTATTGTTCTTGTTTAAAGTTGATAGACAATTGTGTTAACCTATTTTAACAGTATTTTTCAGAAGATAGTTTTAATGGCAATTGCGTCTGACTTCATCTTGTCATAGGATTGCTTCTGGATGTCCATTATAAGTCTCCTTTCATGTCTCAAAACACAATTTTATTTGTATTATTTTGAATTGGTATGCAGGGGTTATTTTCGAGCCAATAGTTGCTCAGTAATCCAATGTGCCTTTAACTTTCTTTTATGATGTTCAGAAATGAGAGCTCAGCCAGTTGTCTTATGTCTTGTATTGGTTTTCTGTTCAATTTTAACTGAACTCTTACATCCATCATGTCTGTTATATTGAGGATATTAACATACTGATGTACTTCTGCACCAGTTGATACACTCAATCACCTCATTGTTGACCTTACTTGTGTGCTTGTCTACATTGGTGATATCATTATTCACTTTACTTGTGTACTTGTCCACATTGTGATGTAGTTGTTCACGTTACTTGTGTACTTGTCCACATTGTGATGCAGTTGCTCACTTTACTTGTGTACTGTCACATTGTGATGTAGTTGCTCACTTTACTTGTGTTCTTGTCCACATTGTGATGTATTTGCTCACTTTACTTGTGTACTTGTCCACATTTTGATGTAGTTGTTCACTTTACTTGTGTACTTATCCACAGTGTGATGTACTTGTTCACTTTACTTATGTACTATATTGTGATGTAGTTGTTCACTTTATTTAAGAACTTGTCCACATTGTGATGTAGTTGTTCACTTTACTTGTGTACTTGTCTACATTTTGATGTAGTTGTTCACTTTACTTGTGTACTTGTCCACATTGTGATGCAGTTGCTCACTTTACTTGTGTACTGTCACACTGTGATGTAGTTGTTCTCTTTACTTGTGTACTTGTCCACATTGTGATGCAGTTGTTCTCTTTACTTGTGTACTTGTCCACATTGTGATGCAGTTGCTCACTTTTCTTGTGTACTGTCACATTGTGATGTAGTTGCTCACTTGACTTGTGTACTTGTCCACATTGTGATGTAGTTGTTGACCTTACTTGTGTACTTGTCCACATTGTGATGTAGTTTTTCTCTTTACTTGTGTACTTGTCCACATTGTGATGTAGTTGTTCTCTTTACTTGTGTACTTGTCCACATTGTGATGCAGTTGCTCACTTTACTTGTGTACTGTCACATTGTGATGTAGTTGCTCACTTTACTTGTGTACTTGTCCACATTGTGATGTAGTTG